CAGTGATATTGATTACCGCCACTATCTACATGAATGGATTTGCCTGCCAGACCAAAATGATGTTATCCATGCTAAGAAGGCCTATGATCTACAGAGTGATGTGAGTACTCGCTGAGAAGCATTCGAGTTCTAAAGTTTGTGTAATGTCCTTGGATTGTAAACTATAGAAACTGCTGTAACTGTCTCTGTCATATAGTATTTTTTCACATTGTGGTTTGATTTACCTGTTCCAATCAAGTTCATATGATCTTTAGGAGTGAATGAATCTGTGTGTAACAAAGGTTGAGTATTATGAAGGTTTGTATACAGCTAATCAGTTAGCCAAATAGTAGAATTAGCTGCATATAATACTTCATAATAGACAATCTTCATACCTTTATATGCCAGTTAACTGCATATAAAGAAGAAATTGCCCAGTATAACTTTTTTTTTCTTGCATAACTTTAGTGGAGATAATTCCTTTTTTCTATCTTGGAGAAAATAGTTTAAATTAAGATTGCCTGTTCTGAGTGAATGACCATTTATTTGTTGTGAACAAATGTTGCAGGAAAACTTTATACTGACTTTCAGGGTTTTATTTTAATCACATTACTCTCTGACCATTCCACAACATGTTGTTGGGTGAATTATACCTCTTGAATGCAGACAAGGGGTCTGAATCTAGGTTGCTAACAGAGGTTGTTTTGCAGATTGAACTAGGAGGAAAGCAATTTACAGAAAGTAAGCATTAGTTGCATAGTGTATGTGAAGTGTTTGGCGAAATTAATGAGACAGCTGTCTTTGTATTTTGTAATAGAACTGCTACAAGTCGGACCTTGAATGGTTACGAGGCATTGGTTGGGTCCCAATTGGTTCCTTGGAAGTTGAAAAAGCCAAGAAGGCAGGGGAGATCTTGAGTGAAAAAGTATACCGTCAGCCTCCAGACACAATCAAGTTTACTAGCGTCACTGATTCTCTAGAGATGGTCTTAGCCAAGCAGAATGCAGAGACAATGAATAAGGTGAGTCTTCATTTGATTAGGTAACACATCAGCAGTCTCGGCTTAAAACCTGGAGACAGGACTAGAAATACATACGTATGGTTGATGTGTGAGATTTTAGCACAGTGAGGCTTTAAAAGTGTAAGTTACATTCTTGGCAATCAACAGGTAGCTTTTTTTCAGCAAGTGCTAATTTAATAATATCTTCAAAGTTACCAAGTTAAATTGGAATTATCAGTTGTGAAGCTTTCCACATGCTCTATTTTGTATCTAGTAATATGTTACTGAACTTTCATCTAATTTTTAATATAGTAATTTGTCTACTAAATCTAATAATTTATTACATTTATCTAGTAACCTAGTAATTAATAAAACTACTAGTTTTAGGGCAGTCTTTGAAATATCCATATTTTAAACAATTCAGCCTAGTACTTAAAATGTAAGCGTTTTTCTGGATCTGTGGCCCTGATCTCAATCCTATTTATGTCAATAAAACCATTTCCTCTTTCAAACAGACCCTGTTGTTAGAGTTTAGATCTCTGTGTGTCTGATTAGCATTCTGTGCCTTTTTTCTAAACATTTTTTTTAACAGAATTCTTTCTAGGTTACTAATTCTTAACCTGCGCATTAAGTATCTAGAGGAGTGAACATGAAATCTCATTGCTATATAAGGAATAAGAATATTTTAGAGTTGGAGTATAGATCTGTAATTCTTCTTATGTTTTAGGACATCTCCAAGTATTTACTGTTTTTTTCCCCCTTTAACATACGTTATTTCTCCTGCAGCGTTTATATACTGAGGCCTGGGATAAAGACAAGACACAAATCCATATAATGCCTGACACACCTGAAATCACACTGGCAAAACAGAACATGCAAAACTACAGTGTGGTGAGTGTTAGCTCTCCAAATATAACTGGTCTGTTTCATGGCTTGATCATCAGTATTCTGATAAACCTTACATAGATGATACCATCAGTTTCTTTAAGTATAACACCCAATATTTATCCTCAAAATTGTGACTTTAAAAACATCATTTGCATTTTGGACAGTAGTGCATACATACAACAGTGAGCATTATTGAGAATAAATTCCATGAGAAGTTGTGTGTCTCCAGTGAATTTCCAGGAGTCATTTCTGCCAGCGTGCATACTGTTTCGAAGGTACAAAATAAATTCCAACATTGGAAATACCAAAAAGGTAATTTCCAGCACAATTCTGAAGAGCAGTGATCCCAGTGTTTAATGTTAGTTTAGGCAAATAAATTCACATCAGTAAGAGGTGGCTTTAAAAAGTAATTTTTACTCCACTTGTATAGAAGAATAGTTTATCTCTAAAATTCTAGTCAATGTTACGTTATTTAAAGTACTGAAAGAAAAAAGTGGTTAGCTAATGTATTTAGCAAAGATATTCCTTTGATATGAATTTGTAGCAGCTACTGATCTGGGGCTTTGAGTTAAGAAAGTTAAGATAAAGCTGGGTTAGACTAAATCTTAACATGATTTTTAAAATCTACTCTACTTACAAGCAGTTTGTTTTGCATAGAATGTAATATATGGAACTTACTTACATGAATCCCATTGTTTAATTCTTCCCCTAGAAACTCTACAAACAGGCCATGGAAGAAGCAAAAAAGAAAGGCTATGATTTGAGAAGTGATGCTATCCCCATTCAAGCTGCCAAAGCATCCAGGCAAATTGCCAGTGATGTAAGAAATTAGTTTTTTGTTTCTTTGTGTCGTGACATCTGATCTCTGCAACCTGAAAGTTATCATCTGGATTCTGTAAAAGGCATTTCAATTAAACTGTAGTCTCAAATAATAGATTTTTGGAAACGAATTATTATATATGTTTAAAGACTTAATTGTAAAAACTAAATGTTGAGAAGTTATAAGGACAATTTAATGCTGCTATCATGTTAATTTTACAGCTCATAAACTGGTATCTTTAGTTAAATCTTAATAGTATGTATATTATTATATTTAATAAAGATTAACGATATTTAATAAGGAGAGAATTAGTTCTCACTAATATTAGTGAAGAGTATTTTTTCAAAAAAACCTACTTAAACATCTCTATTTAGGGTTCTAACTCAAATCTCAAAAATTTAATGTGAGAATCCATGTTATTAGCCCCAGACTTGCCTTGACAGTTTGTGGGTTTTGACTGTATGTTATAGAGAAATTTGGAGACTTTATTACTAGAAAAATTTAATATGAGTAACTTCTATTTAGAGATGATATAGAAGTATAATATCTTGATTTATATTTCAGTACAAATACAAAGAAGGCTATCGCAAGCAGCTTGGCCATCACATAGGGGCCCGTAATATAGAGGATGATCCGAAGATGATGTGGTCGATGCACGTAGCCAAGATCCAGAGTGACAGGGAGTACAAGAAAGCCTTTGAGAAGTCAAAGACACACTTCAGTAGCCCAGTGGACATGCTGGGAATCGTGTTGGCCAAGAAATGTCAAGGGTTGGTCAGTGATATTGATTACCGCCACTATCTACATCAGTGGATCTGTCTGCCAGACCAGAATGATGTTATCCATGCTAAGAAGGCCTATGATCTACAGAGTGATGTAAGCTCTTTTTGATTTAATTTTTATTCAGGAATGTGTTTGATATTTTACATAGGTGGACCAGGCCATCACTTACCACATGGTAGAACAAAATTTTTAGTATTTATTTTCAAGATTCATGACTAATTGAAACTCAGATCTCCAATAAGGTATGGTCATTAATTGATATTTAAATTAAATTCTGTAATTCCAGAATTTGGGCTATTTATCATTTTCCATTCTGTTAAACTTGGATAACAGTTTCACTCTTAATGTAGATGAAATGCAGGGTTCTTTCTAAGATTTTTCTCTAGGGTTATGAATTTATTTGAATTAAAAGTTGATAGTAAGATTACTTAACTGTGAAAAGATGTACCGTGTAAACTGCATTATTATTATTATTATAATAACTGGTGTATTTTTTTTTTTAATAGAACTGCTACAAGTCTGACCTTGAATGGTTACGAGGCATTGGTTGGGTCCCAATTGGTTCCTTGGAAGTTGAAAAAGCCAAGAAGGCAGGGGAGATCTTGAGTGAAAAAGTATACCGTCAGCCTCCAGACACAATCAAGTTTACTAGCGTCACTGATTCTCTAGAGATGGTCTTAGCCAAGCAGAATGCAGAGACAATGAATAAGGTGAGTCTTCATTTGATTAGGTAAAACATCAGCAGTCTCAGCCTAAACCCTGGAGACAGGACTAGAAATATAATGAATACAAGTTGTGCTGAAGTTCAGAGATGATGTATTTTCAAATAGTGTGCTCTGTTGATTTCAATAAAAACTATTAGGCCAGGTAATGGAAGACTCAACTTTGTCATGGTAGTCTGCATATTACATTTTCATCTTTTCTTTGACATGTTTGGACAGTGAGCAGCAATAATGCTTTGGATTATTCATTATTCTTAAGTAATGTGTCAGTTTTCTAAGTGTTTTTATATTTCCTCAGATAAATTCTCTTTTTAATAATGGTATCTCTACCTGATTACATACATAACCATTTATCCATGCTATATTTCCTGTACTTTTACCTAGTATGCTCTATGTTTTACCTGTTTAATAAGATATTAACTTGTTTTGGAATGCAACATTATCTCTTCCTGTATTCTTTCTTAGCGTTTATACACTGAAGCATGGAATAAAGATAAGACCATGGTTCATGTCATGCCTGACACACCAGAAATCCTGCTAGCTAAACAAAACCAATTAAACTATAGTCAGGTGAGTAAAACTGAAGAGTTAAGAGAATTAAATTATTTCTGACAAGTACAATTTTGTCATCTCTGACTTTTAATTACTATTATCATACTGTTGAGTTGTTTGGTTTCACAAATTGCCATATCCACAGCTAAAATCAGAGTTGTTCTTTCACTAGAATTTACCTCCTGGGTATCTAATTGGGCTTTTAAAATATATTATCTGGCATAAATGAGAAATAATTTCTATAGCAAGGTATGGAAATAAATAATTTAGCTTTTAGAATATTCTTTTCTTTGCCTTCCCTAAATGATTTCCAATTTCCAAGTGTCTACAATACAATTACAAGATTTTTGAGTTCTGCATTTTTTAATTTTCTGGAGAAGATAGAGCTGTGTTCAGATATTTAAGTTGTCTGATCATTAGCAATATTGTTTAGGGACTTAATTTCTTCTATTACACAGATGTGCTTAACTGAAGTGTAATTTTGTTTTGAAACAAAAAATTGAATATTTTTTTCACAGAAAATGTACAAACTAGCTTTGGAGGAATCGAAGAAGAAGGGTCATGACTTGCGTTTTGATGCCATTCCTATTCAAGCTGCCAGAGCATCCAGAGAGATTGCCAGTGATGTAAGCAGGTTTCTTATCATGTCAGTACGGATTTGGTAATGGAAAAGAATCAGAATGTTTGTTCCATTGTCTGTTAATGTAGTACCTTAAGTTTGTAGAATAGATACTACTCAAATCCAGTGATTCTATACTGCATGCCTTTAGTACATGAAAGGAATGGATAACCAATATTTTTATGCATGGGTATATATCACAGTAATAAATAAATAAAATAATATGAGTATTATTTTTATGCCCCCTGTAATAGTTCCATTGATGTCCATGGATGTTCAAATAGGATGATCAATAAAGTGTATGAGTCTATGCTAGAGTTAGTCAAATTTATTTCTGATTCAAAATAGGACATACTTTAAGATGTCTCTCCAAAATAGACGTATTAGTAAATCAATTCTAGAAGTTCTAAATTGTTGTCTTTTCCTGAGGAAAAATAGTTCTATTGAAGTGTCATATCGAAATTCAAAATGTCTGAATACAAAAATAGGAAAAAAAAATGCAATGACTATGACAGGTTTTGCTTCATGGATGAGGAAACATCACTAAGAGACAGAGGGTAACAGGTTTTTATGCTCCTTGTTTTTCTATCAAGATTGATATCTAAACTGTTAGTTTTAAGACCAGCTCAGACTACCTTCATGAGGATGTTTTGTAATAAGCTTTTAAAATAAGTTAACCTTTACATTGTAATCTTAATAGTAAAAGAATGTGGAGTATCTGACTTGTTAGTAATTATGTGACGTTAAAGGTTTAGTTAATTGAAAGTGTGATATAGTTATATAAAAAACAGAGATAATATCTGTAATAAAAATCCTTTTTATATGAAAATGAATAAAACAGTAGAAAGACCTAAATCATATTTTTCTCTAAACAAAATATTAATGATTATGTTAAACTGTGTGAATTATTTATTAATTTATAAATATACCATGTGAATCTGAATATACTTTATTTCAGTACAAATACAAAGAAGGCTATCGCAAGCAGCTTGGCCATCACATAGGGGCCCGTAATATAGAGGATGATCCGAAGATGATGTGGTCGATGCACGTAGCCAAGATCCAGAGTGACAGGGAGTACAAGAAAGCCTTTGAGAAGTCAAAGACACACTTCAGTAGCCCAGTGGACATGCTGGGAATCGTGTTGGCCAAGAAATGTCAAGGGTTGGTCAGTGATATTGATTACCGCCACTATCTACATCAGTGGATCTGTCTGCCAGACCAGAATGATGTTATCCATGCTAAGAAGGCCTATGATCTACAGAGTGATGTGAGTAAATTGTTAAATTTGTAACACACAGTTAAATATACTGGGTCTTGTACAATATAATTTTTAACAGATATATAATACACCTTAGTTGCTTGCATCAGACGTGTTAATAGAGATGAAATGTTTAATATTCTATCATCAAATTTATGTTTAATCCTATTTTCTCAGTCCTTAGCCTAAGGTGTAATTTGTGTGTAACTGGTATTTGTGGAGTTCTTCAATAACTCTATTATTTTTGTTATTTAATAATTATTTTACTGAATCTTCAAAAATAATAATTGTTTTCAAAACCATATCCTGCTACTATCCAGGAATGTATACAATTGTTCATACAGACTAGGATATGCTTATTTATAATTATTTTAATATTTGATCACACTTATACATATATAATGAACTTTCAAATTTTTTCAGGCTGTTTACAAATCAGACCTGGAATGGCTAAGAGGTATTGGATGGGTTCCTATTGGTTCCATGGAAGTTGAGAAAGCCAAGAAAGCTGGAGATATCCTGAGTGAAAGGAAGTATCGTCAACCAGCAGACCAAATTAAATTTACTAGTGTGACAGATTCTTTGGCCATGGTGTTAGCCAAGCAAAATGCTGAGATAATGAACAAGGTGGGTTGGGTTTTTTTTTGTCAAAATCACTAGTATTACTAGCTAAAAGAACTTGTTCATGAGGTGAAAAATACAAAATACAAAGTAAGACTAAACACTCTCATTGTGGACTTGGAGAAAATTAATGTCCAAATTCAGCCTTTGCACACAAAAGCTCTTATCTCAGGGCTCTGTCTGTACTGAACACTTAGTAAAAATGTCCCCCCAAAATTCACCTAAATCACATATTTTTCAAAAGTATATACTAAAAATTTTGGTGAATTTCCCTGTTCCTTCCATCTCAGCTGAAATCCTATTTCTAAATGTTTGTTTGGCATGTTTTTTTTATTTTGTTAATGCTACTTCACTATACAAAGCTCATCTCTAACAGAATAGGCTAAATTTTTTTGCAGTTTGTAGACACTGCTGTGAAGTCTGCAGAAATGATGTTCGAGCAAGGTGTTAGGGTATGTCCTGAGGTGGTGGTGCTAAGACCATACTATAAGATAGGATGTAGGAGAATATTGAGGCTTTTACTTCAGTTGTAATAATGATGTATTGTTGACTGAATGTCATACTGCATGATGAGCTTAGGCTCTCTGGAAGTCAAGCTTCTGCAGTTTATCTGACCTGGAGGATGAAAGTCACAAAATACCTACTCCTCCTCTTTAATAAGAAACATCAATCAACTTGTACAGATCATACAATCATACAACAGTTTGGGTTGGAAGGGACCTTTAAAAGCCATCTAGTCCAAACCTTCTGCCATGAGCAGGGACATCTTCAACTACATCAGGTTGCTCAGAGCCCCGTCCAGCCTGACCTGGAATGTTTCCAGGGATGGGGCATCGACCACCTCTCTGGGCAACCTGTGCCAGTGCTTCACCACCCTCATTGCAAAATAATGAATATAGTTTTCCTCCTACATCAGTTTCCTAGCATTCCTAAATCAATCAATTGCTGTGCCAACTTAGCCTCAGAAATAATAAGGAAGGAAAAAGTTTCCTTCTTGAGTTGTTCAATAAGAAGCTTTGCTATGTCAGGGTATTTAAAACTTGCTTGAACTACCTCTCACAGTTTGTAAAATACTTTCTTTGGACAAATGTATTAGTTTGGTTATATATATCTTGTTCTGCTTCAAAATTACTTTTATTTTGTATCATGGATATATTTCTGATAACTACTGCTTTCAAATTTGCAGTCATTCCATCGTGACACACATAAAGAAACTTTTTAAAGGAATGTGTTTTCCTCTCTCCTAGCGTTTATACACAGAAGCCTGGGATGCAGACAAAACATCAATTCACATCATGCCTGACACACCGACAATTTTGTTAGCGAAGGCCAATGCAGCTAATGTTAGCCATGTAAGAACATTTAAACATATACTAAAGTAATGGAAATTCAGATATTAAGTAAGCAATTCTTAACCATAAAGATCTAAAATATGCATTCATGAAAATTTTAAGAAAAAAAATAGACAATGTAGAAATTCCATCTTTCAGAGTATTGAGAAGCCATTTTGTGTCTTCTTTCATGCAGAAACTTTATATACAAGCCTGGGAAGAGGCCAAAAAGAAGGGTTATGACATGAGAGCTGATGCAATTCCAATCCGAAGTGCAAAGGCATCCAGAGATATTGCGAGTGATGTATGTTCTTCCTTCACATTTCTTTTCAGTTAGCTTCAGAAACAAGAATGAAGTAATAAGATACATACTACATAAAAAAACATGGTATATCAGATTCATCTTGAAAGCCTACTAGCAAAGAATTCACTGCAGAAAGAAAATGGGCAACAGTTTCCAAAAGGAATATTGAAATACAAATCCTGACATTAAGCAGATATTAGAAAATAAGAAACTACAGTGAAAATAAACAAAAGCTGTGGGCAAGAATGCATTAGACATTTCTAAATTCCAAATGAGTATATTTCATAACATAAAAATATATTTGTGAACAGTAGGAATATGAAATTATGGGAAATTCATCCCAGATTAACTATTTCTTTTAAACCTACTTTTTGCATTTCTTAGTACAAGTACAAAGAAACGC